TAAACCTGACAAGAAGATTAAAATACTTTTGTTGTCTCCCAGTTTATTGCCACAGGCAACTGGAGCTCCATAGACTACTGTTAGTAGCAATACTGACATTCACATCTCTGCCTTTCCTAGAGAGACTCAGTGATTAAAAATCAAGGTATATTTAAGAAATTATAAAAGGAACTGCTGACATGTTTGATGCACAAGCATGTCCTCCATGAGTAAGGTTGTCCTGAATATATCCCATTAAAACTTACCAGAATACCACATATTACATTTTCCTATGAAATCCAGTGAATGAACAAGAATTATATATAGCCTATTTTGGCTTCTCTAAACATAGCTGTGATAAAAGCTATAATATATTATAAGCAGGTAGAATTAAGAATAAATATCTCAGAACTATTTAAATTACACTTCATCTTCACTCAAACCCACACAATGAAATTAGTCAGTTCACTCATGAGGGTAGAGGATAGAAAAGGGTAATGATCTTCTTCAGTGTCTTCACCCAACAGAATTCAGTACAGGGTACTTGATTTCAGGTGTCCCTTTTAAGTACAGATGCTGAAAAAGGTACTTTTTTTGTTTATATGCAGGATGTGGGACTCCTTCTTATCCTCATGTTAACCTGGGCCCTGGATGACTAATCCTACAGCTGACACAAACAGATGTTTTTATTTGTTTAAACTATTAGGTCAAAGGGCTAATGAGCTAATGAAAATTCTTTTAAGAGCTATCAAACGAGGCATGATTAGTTGGTTTTCAGTTCTTATTTGTATGAAACAAAAGGATTAAAAAGAATTCTCAGTATAAAAATCTTCCATTTCATTCCTAGACTTGGTTAAGAAACAGAATTAAAAAACAGCGACATGAAAAAAAGCATACCTCAGTAATTGCATTAGCATCTCCAGTCTGGTTTAGCAGTGGTGTTCTTCCATCAGCTTTTACAACTTGCATTGTGAGAGTACCTTCTACCCAAACACTGTTTGACAGGATAACACTGAGTTGTTTCAGCAAGTTTCTATTTTTCCCAGAATATATTCCTTTGCTCAGCTTCTGTAACTTCTGGTTTTTATATGTATTTTGCCACATCATTTATTTAAAAAGAATTTCTAGTCACATAAAGATGTCCCTCAATTTAATATTATGGAATAATTGTGCAGGGATTATTCCAATCTCTGTTTCACCAATAAACTCACAATATCTTTCAGATACACTTCCAGAGTAACAACATCTTGCTGTGGAAAGAAATGAGCAGATTTTTGGAAGTTTCTATTTCACATGTATGTACATGAATGTTCAACTATGTATGCTGCACATTCATGTACATACATATGAAATAGAATGTGAATATATGTATGTATATGTACCAATGATTATAGAGTAGTATTTGTTTTCACTTATGAGTAAATAATTTATCTTGAAGAATCCAAATCAAGGTAATTTGCCATGCTCCCAAACTGGCTACTTACTCAAGAAACAGAAACTTATCAAGTCAATTTGACACAGTGTTTATTTTCTTTTTTTTTTCTTTTTTTTCTTTTTTTTTGATAGTGGAAATCATGTATAAATCACAAACAGTACAAGTTCCCCATGTCAGCAGTTGACCACTTGATTGGGTCAACTTCTGTGTATAGACACTGTATTTTTAGTATAAAGTCAAGATAATATGGCAGTTAACTAATACTTTTGACTACAGTAAAGATACAAACTTTCGTAATATAAATTAATTGCCATTACAAAAAGGCAACTGTATTAAGTAATACGGTACAAAAATCTGCAACTTCTATAAATATAATGAAATGCAAGAAGTTAAACGAAATAATACATCACAGATTTTTGTATAGCGCGTTTGAATAGGCAAGCTAAGATACACATGGAGCATTATACAGCAAGAAAGAATATCAAAATCCACTAAGACTTAACTTTTAAGCCATACAAATGCTAGAAGTACAAGTACAGGACACAACATGAAGCAGTTAAGATTACCAGCTCAGAGTGGGCAGACAAAGAAGCCTTACTGATGAGTTGTAAAGCATTAGGTAGCAGACAGAAGGTTGTCAAAACCAGCTGCTGTTGGATACTGATTGATAATGTTTTCATTCTGACGGCTGAGACACTGCAGACAGCCACAGGTCTGAGAAGAAGCCCAGTGTGGGCACACACACATACACACAAAGTAATTTAACAGATGGCTAAAGAACATTAAAGCACAATATCTTTTTTTAAAAAGACAATGTTCACTCCCTAATGAACTTGCATGGAAAGTAAAGCCTAGTGCCCAGTTTATCCCACCTAAATGACAAACACACATGAAAAGATTAAAACAAACAAACAAACCAAATCCAAAGCAGTTGAAATTGGTTATTTGAATGAAAACTGCATGGTGCTTACATATTCTATCATAGCCAGAGCATTCAACAACACTATAGACAAGGAAGTGTGACATGAGCTGCTATGAACATTGTTATCCCCTCATAAAAAGGTGAAGTTGTTTATAGACATTAAAAAGGTACACATCCATTAAGTCCATCTACAACACAAAACCACAGAAGTACTACATTCAAAGTAAAGTTAAGTGTTGGTCTTAGCCTTCAGCAGTTATGAGGTATTGTTTCAACCTGTGATGAGGAATGATCACTGTATTAGTAAGAAAAAGCATACTCAAAATAATTCTGAAAATTAAAATCACTGCTTCTGTGCAGTTGACATTTGCCTAAAAGAAAAATATTGAAGTATCAAAATGTCCTAGTCTAAGTAGCCACTGGCATACTCCAAAACCACATTATCATGGACCTCTTGGGCCCTTCCATGTTACTCATGTAGCACCTTCAAACAGTGCGTAGCTGGGAGATCACAACCAAAAAGTAACATGGAGCCACTGAAGTTTTCGGACCAGACAAACTCTGATGGTAGAAATAAGTACAGTTTCAAGAATGCAATACAGTTGGGCTTATTTTCATCTCCTGTACCTTTTGGTCCATAACTAAACTAAAGCAAGGGAAAATAGTAAAAAAAAAAGTTATTTCACATCTTCTAACTATGGCAAATGAAAAAGCAGTAAAAGCTTGGAATCCCTCATTTTGCCTTCCCAAACTGCTTACCTTCTCTGGGAAATAATGCTCCTTACTCCTCCTCCCCACTTCTTCTTCATTGTCCCTAAACAGAACAGAAATTTTGGGACCTTGTGGAAATCTGGGGACTCTGTAGCCTTTAAGCTCATGCCAGCAAAGAGAGAGTTTGGAAATGTAAATTAGATCCAGCTCCTCTTTAAATCCAAGGAAAGGAACCTCCTTAGCCCCTACACGAGAAACTGATGGGCACCTGGGTCCCAACTAAAGTGTGCAGAGAGAACTGAATCAAAGCAGGACTCCTCTGTGCTTTAAAATGAACAATTCCAGTTTTTGGTTGTTTCCAAGAGTATTAGCAGTGAGACAACTGACCTGGCAGGAAAGAGAATATAAAACAAAGCAAGGACATGCCCTTCAGGCTTCCTGCCTATTCCATCTCAAAATTAAAGGAGTTTACCAGTTTTCCCAGCTTCTTTTTGATAATAGGAAGCAGTTAAAACAGTGGGAGCAATGCAAGAAATTCACGGAAATTGAAAAATAACCAAAAATACCTATGAGAAACCTTTTGTTTAACAAAGAGCAAAATTACAATAGAGAAATGGCTTTTATGAGCATTTAAAAGCTGATCTTTACTATTTTCTTATCCCCAAATAAACTAGTGAGAAACTACAATAAACTTCAAACAGAAGATAGATGCTCAGAATGGAAAGATATGTTGCTTAAAGGCCTGAAAACAAGGCGCTGTGTGTTTGAAGACAGAAGCAGAGTTGACGAGGAACTAACGACACCTCACTCGAGTTTGTGTTTGCAGACACTTTTGCACAAGGGTAGCTGAATGCTCAAGGCACAGCATTCCAGGCGTGCACCAGTCCAGACTGATCTGCACATACCCTGTTGTCACTGTGAACCAGTGGCCTGGCACGTTTCTTTAATGGACAAAATCAGTTTATGAGGTTATCAAAAATCAGCAAAAGGCAGCCAAAATACTGCAAATCTACAACAGGGAAAACATGGAAAGATGAAAAGTGGACTGTGTTACATGAACCAAATCCATGTTTTCTAAATGTATTACAAATGTTTTTTTTTCCAATGACTACTTTTTTGTATTCTAAGTAACACTTAGCCCAGAAGAAATTTGAAAGAACAAGATATGATCCCCTTGAAAAGAGAAGCTTATAGTACGAACAGTGGAAGACCCTGAATTACGGGATAGATGCCTTGGCAATGTTACAATAACTGTAGTAGTCTATGAAGAAGTGATAAAGGAAGTATTTAAAATCACTTATATTTGTAACTAGTAATAAAGCCTCCACAGATGAACTAACAGATATTTGCCCTGCTTTTCTTATGGAAAACTACTTTTAATGAAAACTATTACTTTATCCAACTTCTGCATATTTCTAAAATCTTTCATATACTTCTAAAATCTTTATACTTAGATTACCTGTTTATGTCACATCAGTTTATGTCAGCTATTTTCCCCAAGAAGTCTTATCTGTGCACATCTGTTTATTAGTTTACTTTTCAGCAATCTTCCAGCAAAATACCATACTGCCTCTGGCAGGGTTATGCAGTGACTTCAGAAGACATTCAACTACCTTGTTGAGTCAACTACCTCGACTGTGTTTTCACTCAGTAAAACCTCAGGAATAACCTTTGCATTAACATGAAACTGCTTGCCTTTTAGGTATCCTATTAAAGTTCTCAGTGGCTGTGCTTTTCCATAATGTGAGGTCAATAAACAAGCTGAATTAGACTTGTAAATTCTTTAGACATTAGTTATTTTTTTAAAATTCAAGGTAACATGTGGAATTCCTCCTTTACGAATTATGTTATTTTTGTGCGTGTAAAATTTTCTACCAAGGATGATCACGATGCAAGAAAGCAACATGCAGTGTGCAGATATAGTGGTAAACAAAGAGGAACTTCCTACTTCAGTAGTGTAGACAACTTTACTGGAAATAGTTGTGTACCTGATTCACAGAACATTTATTTTAACCAAAGGGCATTCTGCATTAACTCTGTATGAACAACATATCACAGCTCAGCCTTGATACTACACTGTAATTAAGCTGTGACAGAGTGAGCAGGTACAATGATGCGTGGGAACTTCTTCTTTCTCTTAGCTTTCACATTCTTGAAGGTTCGAAGTCTCTCTCTTCTAGCAAGTTTATTAGAAGGGAGAAGCTGTCTTTTACTGCCTCCATATCATCCAGGGAGCAGGGTTTAAGAATCCAGCGCTTTCCACGTGCAAGTGGCTCAAGTTCAAAATATTTTTTTATCTATTAAGAAAAAAAAAGAGAGACCAATGTATTACATCATGACAACCCTCTGTCTCACATCTAAAAACCAAACCAAACTAGATCAAACAGAACACATGTAAAAAAATCAGCATATTCATTTTTGGAATCTTACCCACAGCTGCTCTTATAATACAGGTTATATGACATGACCTGAAAGTGTTTTCTTTAGGGGTGAGTGACCTGCTTGGAAGCTACCATTCTGCCCATTTAACATTTACCATTTACCATTTAACAGCATGGGAGGTCTGAGAAAGAATTGTACTGACTAGAGGCAAACAGCAAAGCACATGAAACATGTGCTCAAAATTTACCCAAAACAGCAAAAGCAAATAAGAAATTTTAGGTTTTGTTTGCATTTGCATGTTAAAAATGTATGTTTCATTATACTCTTATTGGTAAACACTTAAGATACAGAGTTGGTCACCATAATACTCTAACTTCACAAATTAAACATAAAAAATGTACAGATCCTAAGCATTCCAGTCAAACATGAGCTATAGCATAGCATCTCTTTGTGACCAAAATAAATCTATACAAATAAAAATTCTTCAAAAATTACTTATTTCTTCTAAAATTAAACATGGAAGACTAACACGCTAATGTTAGTAGGATAGTAATAAGTATTATACATGAAACATGATGCAGCTTCTTGGAAACATCAGTCATTACTGACATTACAACAACTGCCAAAACACAAACACAGATCCAGAAAGACTGAGAAAGGAAAAAATTTAATTTAGTAGTATACTCCAATCACTTTTCAAAACAGAAAGAACAATATCAAAACATGTTTTTGATGTCTCTTAGAAGAGAACAGCAGCCTTCAGGTTATACTGGTCCACAGTTTACTGTTTTCATAAAATTTTAGTCTTTGAAGGTATTTGACCCAAAATCTACTCATGTTTGACTTGTCCAATAGACTTTTAGTAAAAACTAAAATGCAAAACTATATCACTCAATTCTTCCTACTGTCCATATATCAAAAGAAATACTTAGTCTTGACTTAGTTTGCACGTTCTTGCTCATTGTAATCATTGCCAAATACTCTTAGATTTTTTTAGCACAGAGTGTGCTGTAAATACACAGCACAATTACAGGAACAGTTACTCATAACATGGTAGGCAGTAGAGCAGCACCCTAGACAGGTGATTGGAGCCACACTGTGTAAGGCTCCAATGTGCAGAAGGAATAAAAAGAGGAAGGCGGAAAAAAAAAGGCTTTCAAAGTCCATACAAACTGCAATATCTGTGTAGCTCTTGAAGTGTCTACTGATAGACAAACAACAGTTTTGTTTATCTATTAATGTATAGTAATAGAAGAAACCAAGTTGAGTTGTGTGAACTCACATAATTCAGAATTCAACCATGATCATGTGTCAGGCAGGCTTTCTTATTTTTAGAAAGGAATTTCAACCAGAATGTTTAGTAACAAATATCAGGGGGAAAAAATGGTGGTTTTCGAGATGAAAATGTCTGCTTACCTGGGAATGACACTGTGAAAAATTTTAAATCTCTTTTCATCAAAGTAGAATTGTACCAATAACATTTGAAAATGAAGTGTGGTACTTGACATTCACTTGCCCTCAAACAAATTTTAGAAAACATACAAGTTGAAATAAATGGGGCTTCAGCAAACCAACATTATTATCAACATATCTACTTTTTAGCATTGCTAGCTCAGTGCCACACCAGTATCTGATGTTAGCACAACTATGTGTCATAAAAACCAAAATACTAATATCAATAATGGATGTATTGCAACTTTTCTAGCAGCTTGAATTTACCCCCATTAATATACTGAATTAATGGCACTGATCACAGCATTGGAAAAGCAGGGTAAGGAAGCTCTGTTGCCTGTTTCAGCAGCAGCCTCCTTGATTGCCACTCCAGGGGAGGAAGCTGCACAGAAGGATAGCAAAGCAAGGTCTCAGTGCAGCTAGCAGATAGAGCTGCCCACTGGTGTTAAACTGACAAATATGGCTGAGTAATCCAAGATGTTTCAGACCCACAACCCAGAGGATGTCCACCACACCCCCTCTACTGGAAGACTATTGCCATCAGACCCTGGAGCTCACTGAAGTCAGTCCACAATCCTCCTTACCCTCTTGAAATAGGGCTCAGCCATATGAAGAAAGGTCATTACATCAGGACAGCACTTGGGATTAAAAGTAGAAACACATGCTCAAGGAAATGATGGCAGTAAGCAGACCAGCACTGAGTCTTGTGCATTCGTGGGCAAATATAACACAAGTTACCAAGGTAGCCTCTAGCCAAGAAAAACAAAATGCCTGATTTAGTGAAACAAATTTTGCAGATAAATTATTTGGATACCCAAAGTTGATCAAAATGCATTTTTTTTTCTGTTTCTATCTGTGTAATCAAAATGTTACTTTATTAGTGATGTGCTGTCATCATTTTCCACATTAAGGAACATTCAGAGTATCTGCATTAATAGGTCTTATATGAATGCTGAAATGAAAGTGTTTGTTAGGTGGTTGTTTTTAAAATGCGAGGGTTTGATACTGGTATGAAAGCACAAATGCTTATATCCACATGTAAGAGCTATTTCATTCATATGTTCTGCAGGAAAAAAAAATTGCTAGATGACTTCTGTCTAATACAAAACTAGTAAAATAACACTAATTGGCTTACAAATAATAACTAACTAAACCAGAAGTAGCACAGAAAAAGTGATTTTTCACAACCCAAGGGACATTTTGTGGTGTGTTACTATATTTCCTCATTTAAACTTCACACCACAATGGAGTTTGCTAAACCTCAAGGTTTTGCAAGCAGGCTCTCTGGACTTTGCAACTTCCAGAAAGTAGTTTGCAGACACAAATACTTTCCAATTTACTATAACTTCTCCTCCCTTTAACTCAGAAGAAGTCATTCTGTTCTAAAAGCAAGTACTTTCTTTAGACTTGAAAATAGAACCATTTTTTACATGCAACAGATGAAACATGAAAAGATCGACACAATCAGATGCCCAATTCTTTTTATACAGTTGAGTTTTCCACTGGAATGCTCAGCTCTCCATCCACGTTTGTTTTTGTAGTTCCTTTCTTCCCCAGTGGCCATCATCCATATTTGTTCCCTGCAGATTTCCTAAGAGGATGTACACTGATCACCAAAGCATCCAAAGAAAGCTCAAATTCACTGAATACTTACACACCTAGTTAGTTCTCGCATAATCAGCAGTTACTATTTTACAGCTCTCTTCAATCACACTAGCACAAAGGGGTGAGTTCCTAAGAGAAGCTCTTCTGTCTTCCTCTCTGCACAAACACCAAAAAATTTTCTGCCTGTTCATGAATGCTGAAGTGAAAAATAAAGACTCAAACATGCTTCAGAAGTCTGATGCATTTACATACTGGCTGTGCATTTTCAAGAGTTTACTTTGAGATTACTAAATTTTTCAGATATAATCCTAGAAGAAAATACAACAAATTAAATCCAATTTCAAGACTTCTTTACTTATTTTTACAGGATCTCACTGTACGCATTGATTCCACATGAGGGCCTTGTTTTGTAGAGAACCTGACATTGTATTTATGCCACATTCTGAAGTCAATAAAATCTAAGGATACATGTTTGCAATTCCCACTCTTCCCACACTCCACCTTCTAAGTCTTATTCTACTGGCACAATACATTAAACATATGGTTATCAAATGTTGCTTAACCTACGTGCTAGAAAAGTCAGGACACAATAAAAAGGATCAGTGCCCAGAACCTCAGCTGGTGTAAATTATCATAGCAGTGTGGAATTGATGTTACTAAATTGATATACGTAAGCTGAGTAACCAGGCCCTGCTGAAAGCTTTTCCATGTTCTATTACTGAACCTCATCATCTAGACAGTTCACCACCCATGTGAACATAAGATCTATACGAAAACTTAGATGTTTTAATATATGAGAAAATTTATCTCTATTATTCAACATGAAATAAAGATGATTGAAAGCATTATTTTTCATTCAAATTCAAAATTATACTACCAAATTTCATGAACACAGAAAAGCTTCCAGCTCACTGTGACTAATCTGTTGTAAACAAATACAAAATTCAGATAGTCACTTACATTACCAGGCTGGTAAACGGAGAACTTAATGAATAAAATATTTTTCACTCATTGCTGTTTTTTTGAAAAATTTCATTGGGACAAAAAAAATTGTAACAAAACATGTGTATTATATCCAATCAAAGGCTGTCAATCTTGTCAGTGTCCCCAGAAGACTAAATTTTTAAAATACTTTCACAGGATTTATGAAGTATTACTGCAAAAGGGTGACTAATGAAGGTATGAATTAAACTAAAATAATCTAATTTGCTGAATCCATGTATTAACCATAAGACATGGTTCATTCGTCCATTCCAAATCTGCATGGACAAGAAACAAAGTAATAATGGAAGATTGGAGTAGCCCATATTAACACTGAAAGTTTCAGTGAGCAGTGATGCTGATAATATCTTTACAGACATCATAAAAATCTGCTTTTTGTAGCAGCCATTTAGAAGATGCAGGAAAAAGGGGGAATTTTGCTTGCTGGCTCTACAAACAACAGACAAGCTGCCTATAACAATTCTTGTGCAAATTCAATATATTTGGAGAAGAGAAAAAGCCAAGAGTACTTTACATAGCGTTAAGTTTTAAAAACAGAAACTACATAAAAATTGGAACTTAAAGAAAATTAACTGTGTAGCTAAAAAAGTGAAATGCTTGCAGGTGGCACAGAAAAAAATACCATAATTAGAGGCTCAGAGTGTATTTATACTTTTTCAGAAGACTTTAAAATAAACAAAAAAGCTCTCACCAATTGCAGAAAGGAAAGGGATGGTATTAGAGGTAAAAGAAGTCATGTCTAAATAAAGAAAAGAGAAAACAAAAGAAAGGAAATTCTGGCAAATTAAATAGAAACCACAAATGTTGACCAACTAACCATAGAGTAGAACTCAATACTTAAATCACCACTGATGCT